TTGTAACAATTTTACAAACTAATAGGGATTAAAAATTTTTATATTTCGCTGAAAATGTTACTGTTTTCGGCCAGTAGGTTAAATTAGCCAAAAAGTAAGGGGGCAGAGAAGAATGAAGGAGAAAAAGCAAAAAAAAAAACTTTTGTAAGGATAAAGAGGAATAAACAAAATTTCACTGGGATTTTTTCAGGACATTTGCCTATTACGGATGCCTCATCACGAAACCTATTCCGGTCATTATCGGTTACCCATGTTGGATTTAATTCGCTTGGCAATGAACTGATTGTAAATATTGGCGGTGAACAAATCTATATTTTCAATATACTTGAGCGGTAAGCCGTTTTGCTTTATGCATTTTCAGTCCATTTGATCAGCTCTTGTTTCATCATGGAGGTAGGACCGAGTGGTCGCACCTGTTGGCAGAGACCTCACGCTGGTAAAATTGCAATTGCTGGAAATTATAACTTCCACGTGAAATTGTAACTTCGTTTTTTTTTTTATTCTTTTTTTGCAGAGCACATGAACCGGATGCATTGCAATCACTTCAGAGTCTGCTGGCTAATCCTATCAAAAATTTGCCGGATGTTGGAGAATTCATGGGTTTTGAAAATACAACTACAGATGTTTTCAAAAAGGAACGTGAACGTGCAAAAATACATTTCAACAATAATGAATTTACGGATGCAATTAATACATACAGCCGTGCGATCCTGAAATGTGAGAAACTGTGCGGGTTAGAAAATTTTCAGTATTTATAATTTCTCAGTAGTTCTCCTCCCCTCCTTCTTCCCGTCCTTTCTTGTAACTTAAGCATTCAGGAGTAAGCCGATGGTATCAATTAAGACGTTTCGGACCATTAAATCATATACGTCTTAGCTCAACATCGCGATAGGACCTCGTCAGTATGACGGTTGCAGTGCTTGATGAAAAAGGAAAAGAAAAGCGGGCGAAAAAAAAAAGGGAAAACGACTTGGTTGTCGGATTAGAAGAAGTAGGAACGGGGTGAAGAAGGAAAGGAAAAGAAAAGAAAGGAGGAAGAAAAGGATTTTAAGTGATGGTTTTTTTTTTAAAAAGTTGTTTTTTAAAAAAAATTAATAACTTTCCGGAACAATCACTGGCTGAAAAGTTTCAGGACGTTTTCGTCTTCCAGAGTTAGTTTAGAAGTAGGCTGAGGATGATGATATTAATTATATGTGAGCTAATGTTCTTGATAGGGAAATTCTAATTTTTTTCGGATTTTTTTTTCAGACGTATTCCACCTCCTGGCCATAAGCATGCTATGGATCTTTGTTTATTGCTGGCAAATCGTGG